CCCAGCCCGGCCTGTTCCTGCTCCACGCACTAAACCTACGGTGTGCGTCGTCAGCCCAGCCCGGCCTGTTCCTGCTGCACGCACAGAGCCTACGGGGTGCGTCGCCAGCCCAGCCCGGCCTGTTCCTGCCACCCGCACCAAGCCTACGGTGTGCGTCGCCAGCCCGACCCGGCCTGTTCCTGCCACTCGCACCAAACCTACGGTGCGCGTCGCCAGCCCGGTCCGGCCTGTTCCTGCCACCCGCACCAACTCTACGGTGCGCGTCGCCAGCCCGACCCGGCCTGTTCCTGCCACTCGCACCAAACCTACGGTGCGCGTCGCCAGCCCGGTCCGGCCTGTTCCTGTTCCACGCACAGAACCTACGGTGTGCGTCGCCAGCCCGAACCGGCCTGTTCCTGCCACTCGCACCAAGCCAAGGGTGCGAGTCGTCAGCCTGGTTCAGCTCGTCCCTGCTACTCGCACCAAGCCAAGGGTGTGAGCCGTCAGCCTGATCCAGCCCACTCCTGCTACTCGCACCAAGCCAGGGATGCGAGTCGTCAGCCTGGGGAGGCCCGTTCCGGCTCCACGCATCAAGCCTAGGGTGCGTTTCGTCGGCCCTGTCCGGCCCGTTCCTGCTCCCCGCACCAAGTCTGTGGTGCGTTTCGTCAGCCCTGTCCGGCCCGGTCCCGCTCTCCGCACCAAGTCAAGGGTGCGCTTCGTCAGCCCGGTCCGGCCCATTCCTGCTCCCCGCGCCAAGGCAGTGGTGCGCGTCGTCAGCCTGGTAAGGCCCGTTCGTCCTCCACGCACCAAGCCAGGGGCGCGTGTCGTCAGTCCGGCTCCGGCCAGCGGGGCTAGACAGGACCAGGGGTACTTTGGGGGGTTGGAGAGGAGGTGGGGATCAAGGCCGGAGCCAGAGCCACCGCCGAGGAGGTATGCCCGCCCAGCCCTCCCTTGTTTAGCCCGTATTGAGGCGCGGTCGCAGTCCGCGCCTTTAGGGGGGGGGTACTGTCACGCTCTGGCTCCGGGACTGTGTAGTTTGAGCCAGGGTGTATTCATTTGGTTGTGTTGGGTATAGGGTGTGTTCATTTGGTTGTGTTTTGGTTTTGGTTGTAGTGTCTTGTCTCGTCATGTGACTCCCAATCGGAGGTAACGAGTGTCAGCTGTCGGCTCGTTATCTCTGATTGGGAGCCATATTTAAACTGTCAGGGTTCACCTTAGGGTTGTGGGTTTTTGTTCCATGTTTCAGTCTGTGTACTGAGGACTTCACTATCCGTCATTGTTTATTGTTTTCTCGTTCGTGCACTTTAACTTTAATAAAGTCATGTTCGCTACAAACGCTGCGCTTTGGTCCACTCCTTCCGTAGACGGCCGTGACAATACTTTTAATTTGGGGCTTTGACAGTCAACTGCAAATTAGTCTGACATAATGGATCTTATCTCGCCACCACTAATGAGATGGGTGTGGCTTGATGCATGACCATCACCACCTTCCGGAGACATTTGAAACCCCACCTCTTTAAGGAATACCTGGGATAGGATAAAGTAATCATTCTACCCCCCACCCCCCCCTAAAAAAATAAAATAAAAATAATAATAATAATAATTGTGAAGTGGTTATCCCACTGGCTATAGGGTGAATGCACCAATTTGTAAGTCGCTCTGGATAAGAGCGTCTGCTAAATGACGTAAATGTAAATGTAATGACGCGTCGGAGCTTCTCAAAGTCAGGGGGCGTGGTCAACAGGGCGCACCTCATCTCATCTCTGTCACGTCCAACCTGGATCAATATTTGGTTTTAATGCAGACGAGAGCACTGAATCCAGCTTCACACAGATATGAGCTGGCGAAGGGTATCATGAGTTTTATGGTGCTTTCAAGACAACTGTGAACACTGAAAAATACGAGGTCAAATCATGACGTCAGTGATCTTCAGGTCGGAAAGTCGGAGCTCTAGAAAGAGGCCCGAGTTCCCGAGTTGGAATTCCGAGTTGGATGACCGTTCAAAAATATTTTTCCCAGTCGGAGCTCGTTTCTATCCGAGTTCCCAGTTGTCTTGAACGCGGCATTAATGCTCAGAGGGAGACAGCAGGGTATTCCCTTTCAGTCGGGAACCAAAACTCCTCCGTAGTGATCCGTGAATGCGTTGTCTGCAGCATTTGGTCACATGACAGCTCGATCAGCTGTTCGATTTCACTTACCGGCATGTCAACTGAGCCAGGACCACGGTCAAACGGATTGGGAAGTAGGTCCCAAAGTGCTCTTCCAAGCATCTGGAGGTGAGCAGTCGTCACTCGTGTGGGACACTTACTGATGCTGTTTCCTGTTCTTTTCTTTTCATTACACAGAAAGTCAACCAATTCTGTTTTTTTTACATCCATTGTGAGTGACAACAGTTCCAATCTCAACACTCTCTCGATAACCAGCAAGCCTCGGTGTGAAATAGAACATTGTCATGCTCTGATCCCACATCTCCATTTAGTTTTGCGAGCAGGCGTGCGAGCAGTGGATGTGGTTTGATGTAGTTTACAATCGAAGTTACCTGCTGCATATCTCCGAGTTCTGTTGCTCTCGGTGTATCCATTATAGCTCAGTGGGTGTATCATACAATGCGTCCATATGGCAGCGGGAAACACAATCATAACTAGAGTGCAGAAGCCTGCCCGCCGTCCCGTGATAGATGGAGCCCAATTTGTACAAAGGCCCACCACTCGATCCCATATGGAATCTGTTTTTCAATCAATGTAGCCACGTAGCACACTGAACATCCCCTATGCCGTTTCATGCTCGGGAATCGTGAGACAGAACAATATGTCCTCGTGAATAGCATCCCCCGACATGTAGCGAATAAAAGTCAATGCATGGGCATCTCTGCCCTCACAGCTAACGTCCATCTGGAGAGCATAAGGTGGGGAGTTTGAGTCGTTCAGTCAGTTTCCTCTTGATCGCTAGCTATAGCATCAATTATTTGTTTAACAGTGTTATCTGACAAAGGTCTTGATGGGAGTTTCTGTGCCTCTGCCTCCCCACACATTGTTTTCACCATATCAGTTGCGTCCGGTAATATCAAAGTCTCTGCAATAGTGTGTGGTTTCATAGCGTAGCGTAGCCTAGCCATTCACTGTGGGAATGATTCAAGCGCAACGGTCAAGTGCGGCCTTTTCCCCATGATCTAAGGGCACTCCCTGGTTGAATTTTATCTTTCAGATTTGAATTATTTTCATTTAGATTTTTAAGGTTAACCACATTACAATGATTTTTAGATACAAAAGACGGTATTGTAATATATATATTTTTTTCTATATATTTTTTCTTCTTCAGGATTTAGGAAATTCTCCCGCAAGCCCATTTTCATATTCGACCCCTAGTTTGGGAACAGGTTGAATAGGGAATAGGGTGCCATTTGAGATGCAGCTACTGTTTAGTCAGCTGTTGGTCTCTCTCTCTCTCTCTCAAAGCAACCTCTCTTCCTACAGGGAACTAACTAATTACAGAACACCAGATACTAGAATCAATACATGATCAATACACACCATGCTGAGTAGTGATGGGGGGGGGGGGAATCGATACCGTTATATTTCGCAATATTATTTGGGATGATATTATATGGATACTTTGACTCCAAGTATCATTTGTAAAAAATAAAACAATAAAATGCTAGATAGCGTCAGCCATAGCTTGTTCTCCATCTTCTTTTTAAATAGTGATCCAACCTGTTTTCAGCATTTTTAGTTCCATGACTGATCAAAGCTAATTTTATCATGCTATCTCTCGTCTCTCTGCAGCAGACATACGGTATAGTGAGCAATATGTCTGGAACATCAAATTGCAATACAATCACAGTATCAAATCACAATACATATTAGAATCGTGAGAATCACACAATCCATATCATATCGGCACCTAAGTATGGCGCTATCGTATCGTGAGGTCCCTGGCAGTTCCCTAATGCTGAGCGTGACCAGGTTTGCAGTTACTCTGTTCCAGAGAAAAGCGATTGTCCATCATGTCCATACTGTGATCAGTGGTTTGCTTCAGTTGCACCTATGATGGGAACACAGCAGGCAAACCCCAGTTGTTTGTAACCTGATAATAAATAACGTCAATCTCAACCAGAAAACCAGTTTACAACCAGCTCGCTCTGCATAGAACGACCATGGAAACAAGGAGATATAAGAGACATAGTGATAATCTATAATCTCTTTCTTTGTGATAAACTAACTCAGCCATGAGCCAGACACTGTGGTCTTGTATGTCTTCCATTTCCTAATAATTGCTCCCACAGTTGATTTCTTCAAACCAAGCTGCTTACCTATTGCAGATTCAGTCTTCCCAGCCTGGTGCAGGTCTACAATTTTGTTTCTGGTGTCCTTTGACAGCTCTTTGGTCATGGCCATAGTGGAGTTTGGAGTGTGACTGTTTGAGGTTGTGGACAGGTGTCTTTTATACTGATAACAAGTTCAAACAGGTGCCATTAATACAGGTAACGAGTGGAGGACAGAGGAGCCTCTTAAAGAAGAAATTACAGATCTGTGAGAGCCAGAAATCTTGCTTGTTTGTAGGTGACCAAATACTTATTTTCCACCATAATTTGCAAATAAATTCATTAAAAATACTACAATGTGATTTTCTGGATTTTTTTTCCTCAATTTGTCTGTCATAGTTGACGTGTACCTATGATGAAAATTACAGGCCTCTCTCATCTTTTTAAGTGGGAGAACTTGCACAATTGGTGGCTGACTAAATACTTTTTTTCCCCACTGTATTATATCTATTATATCTATTATATCTATCTACCTAAAGATTATACACAGAGACCAGAAGATTTTACCTAGGAGTTCATCTGACTCTGGGGAAGTAGATAAAGTGCTTCATTGCCAAGATACCCTGTTATATAAATAGTGCCCCTATTGTGAAAAGGTCAAGTTAACATGTCAACTCTAAATGTAATACATGTGAAAATGCAAATTTGACATGTTTTTGTTGTTGTAAGGGATAGGAGAGATGGGTAATAATGTAACTCACTCAGCCATGAGCCAGACACCGTGGACAGATCCGTCCTCCTGGCTGATCAGAGCCTTGATGTCTTCCAGGGCTTGGTCCAGGGTCCCAGGCTGCACAGGGAAACAATGTGTTAGATTACAATTCAACCTTTAAAAATGGGACAATATCCACACTAAAATATACGTTTTTGCAGTCTTGAGAGCTGAAACTTCACATTATTTAGACCATTAGCGATCATTATCATCTGAGTCACAGTAACCTTGCTTTTATTCTGCTCTGTTGAGAGGGACTCGGGAGGCTGAATTACTGCATACGTCATATAAAAAAATATATGTCATATTTTTAAAATGCAGCATCATAGGGGATGATTTCTGTATTTTGAAAGTGACATATCTTGAAAACTTGATTGCTGACAAGCAAAACATTTTTGGGACTATGTCAACAATGGACTAATGAAACAAATACCAAAATATATAGTTTTTGGGTGGAGTTTTCCTTGAATACTTTTGAGTTTGTTTTGATTGCAATACTAATTTTGTTCTCGACTTCAGAAGTTTTTCTTGATATTAAACAAAAGCGAAAGTTCTTACATGTGAAGGTGCAAATTGGATTTTCACATGTGAATGTTTTTCACATGTAAAAATGCAATTCCACATGTGAAACTGCATATCCGAAGAGGGTGCCATTTGGCTCAGAAGCAGTGCACTATATAGGGATAGGGTGCTATTTGGGACGCATTCAATACTTTGACGTGTCAGCAAATACAGTGCATTCGGAAATAATTTAGACCCCTTCACTTTTTCCACATTTTGTTACGTTACAGCCTTATTATAAAATGGATTAAGTCGTTTTTTCCCCTCATCAAGCTACACACGATACCCCATAATAACAAAGCAAAAACAGGTTTAAAAATGTTTTGGCAAATGTATTAAAAATAAAAACTGAAATATCACATTTACATAAGTATTCAGACCCTTTTCTCAGTACTTTGTTGAAGCACCTTTGGCAGTGATTACAGCCTCGAGTCTTCTTGGGTATGACGCTACAAGCTTGGCACACTTGTATTTGGGGAGTTTCTCCCATTCTTCTCTGCAGATCCTCTCAAGCTCTGTCAGGTTGGATGGGGAGTGTCACTACACAGCTATTTTCAGGTCACTCCAGAGATGTTGGATCGGATTTAAGTCTGGGCTCTGGCTGGGCCACTCAAGGACATTCAGAGACTTGTCCCGAAGCCACTTCTGCCTTGTCTTGGCTGTGTGCTTAGGGTCGTTGTCCTGTTGGAAGGTGAACCTTCGCCCAAGTCTGAGGTCCTGAGCACTCTGGAGCAGATTTTCATCAAGGATTTCTCTGTACTTTGCTCCGTTCATCTTTCCCTCGATCCTGACTAGTCTCCCAGTCCCTGCCGCTGAAAAACATTCCCACAGCATGATACTGCCACCACCATGCTTCACCGTAGGGATGGTGCCAGGTTTCCTCCAGACGTGATGCTTGGCATTCAGGCCAAAGAGTTCAATCTTGGTTTTATCAGACCAGAGAATCTTGTTTCTCATGGTCTGAGAGTCCTTTAGGTGCCTTTTGGCAAACTCCAAGCGGGCTGTCATGTGCCATTTACTGAGGAGTGGCTTCCGTCTGGCCACTCTACCATAAAGGCCTGATTGGTGCTGCAGAGATGGTTGTCTTGTCCTTCTGGAAGGTTCTCCCATCTCCACAGAGGAACTCTGGAGCTCTGTCAGAGTGACCATCGGGTTCTTGGTCACCTTCCTGACCAAGGCCCTTCTCCCCCGATTGCTCAGTTTGGCCGGGCGGCCAGCTCTAGGAAGAGTCTTGGTGTTTCTAAACTTCTGCCATTTAAGAATGATGGAGGCCACTGTGTTCTTGGGGATCTTCAATGCTGCAGAAATGTTTTGGTACCCTTCCCCAGATCTGTGCCTCGACACAATCCTGTCTCGGAGCTCTACGGACAATTCCTTCGACCTCATGGCTTAGTTTTTGCTCTGACGTGCATTGTCAACTGTGGGACCTTATATAGACAGGTGTGTGCCTTTCCAAATCATGTCCAATCAATTGAATTTACCACAGGTGGACACCAATCAAGTTGTAGAAACATCTCAAGGATGATCAATGGAAACAGGATGCACCGGAGCTCAATTTTGAATCTTATAGCAAATGGTCTGAATACTTAGGTATTTCTGATTTTAAGAAATTTGCTAAAATTGATAAAAAACTGTTTTTGCTTTGTCATTATAGGGTATTGTGTGTAGATTGATGAGGAACATTTTTTATTTAATCAATTTTAGAATAAGGCTGTAACGTAACAAAATGTGGAAAAAGTGAAGGGGCCTGAATACTTTCCGAATGCACTGTAAGAGCTCAGATTCATGTGGTTAGTTTAGGAGTGTCTCGCTGGCCTGGCAGCTGATTCATTATTACTATATTTACTGTAGGCGTGGACAGACACAGCCGGTTGAGGGGGACGTTAATCTGGAGTCTTAATCTGATCAAATTGCCCTGAGAGTAAATAAACGCGGCATTGTGGATCACTACAATAATTCAAATGTAATTAATACGTGCAGTAGAACTATCGAAATGTTCCATATAATGGGATTAGTTGATTTCACTATACATTAGTAGGTCTACTCTATGTATACAGTAAACCTTTACAGTAGCTCTACTCTATGTATACAGTAAACCTTTACAGTAGCTCTACTCTATGTGTACAGTAAACCTTTACAGTAGCTCTACTCTATGTATACAGTAAACCTTTACAGTACCTCTACTCTATGTATACAGTAAACCTTTACAGTAGGCCTACTCTATGTATAAAGTAAACCTTTACAGTAGGTCTACTCTATGTATACAGTAAACCTTTACAGTAGGTCTACTCTATGTATACAGTAAACCTTTACAGTAGGTCTACTCTATGTATAAAGTAAACCTTTACAGTAGTTCTACTCTATGTATACAGTAAACCTTTACAGCTGAGCATAAAAAGTAGGCTACTATTACCCTCAAAACAAAGAACCTCTTGAGTTTGAACTGATTTAGTGCAGAAGTCCAACGGTTCCCAATGGCCCCGGCTCCGGCTCCGGCTCCATCTCCAACACCAGCCCCAGTATCAGGTGTGGGGGCAGCAGGCCCTCTCTCCTCTGTCTCTATCTCGGGATGAGCACCACTCTCCGGTGCCTGAGGGGGGGTCTGGGTCGGGTCCAGGTGAGAGGAGGACTGGGTCTCTGGTCCTAGTTCTGGGTGCTTCAGCTCCACAGCCTTGGAAGTGACTGTTTTACCCTCAGACATGGTGTCCTACGATGAGATCTGATAGGAATATCCAGGTGAACAAAAAATTAGAGCAGTCGTTGATAATATCAATACAAAATCTATCCGGTTTATTACAAGTTGCAACTGGGAGACACCTCCAGAACAGAAGCAGAGAAAACGTCTAACTGGCCTCTTGGAGACAGGCCCTTTCTATTCCAAATCAGACATATTCAAATGTTATGTAAATACCAGCCCGAGAGGCTTGTAGGAAGTCAAAACTAAACGCAGCGACGTTGTCAGCTGCTACAGAATCACACAGTGTACAACATTAATACAACAATCATCTATCAGTGTCCCCTGTCCTTGTACCTCCAGTCTGGCTTCAATCTCTATTGACAGAATCTTGCACAAACAGAAGCCTGTAAAATCATGTGTATTACAGAACGAGAAAAACATATCAATATGCCAAGTAATGTGTTAATCAGTCTTTACTGTATATTAACTTTATCAATATTAAATATTGCCATTACATGTGCTATTTAAATAATAATAATAATAATATGCCATTTAGCAGACGCTTTTATCCAAAGCGACTTACAGTCATTCGTGCATACATTTTTTTTTGTGTATGGGTGGTCCCGGGGATCGAACCCACTACCTTGGCGTTACAAGCGCCGTGCTCTACCAGCTGAGCTACAGAGGACCACCATTTTACAGACTAACCCACCAGCGACACCCATGAGATTTAAGATGTCCCAAATGGCACCCTATTTTCCTTTGTTTGACCAGGGCTCATAGAGTTCGCGTCAACAGTAGTGCACTGCACTGTAGGGAATAGGGTGCCACTTGGGACAAACGCTTGCACAAACGTAAGCTGCATTGGTTCCCATGTTCTGTTGGCAATTCATGTTTGATAGTTTATGTCACTGATTAGGCAATGTCTACCTGGATTCAATCCCCCCCTAAAGTGTGCATCCGTCAATTAAATATGCTATAATTAGGCCAAGTAGGTTTCATTATGCTTCGGTCTTGAATCAAAGGTATTAGACTTTAGGGCTGAGAGTATTTTATAGAACAGAGCCATTCGGCTACATTACGGAAATTTTGTTATGCTGTTTCTTTATTGAAACAATATCGGAATAAAACTAATTATTTCAAAGAAATTCGGATAGTATACTAGTATATGCTACTTACCAGTTGGTATTTGTGAACTCTGGGACGTATTTTTGTCAGAAGAAAACTAGTGGTTTGAGAGTCAGTGAAAGATGCGCAACTGCAGTGCAACAGGTGTTTCCTTGTTCCGTGTTTTCGTTAAATGGGCGGACACGGGGACGTACACGGAAACACAACACACTTGCTGTTCACGGTAGTTTCGGTCCAGGTAGTTCCGTACACTGGGCCGGTAGCGAAGGAAGGCGCACTACTCCCTGGGCCAGAGCTATTTAGCCTGAACGAGCAAAAGGCTTCAGTAAAAAATAACGCTGCCTTCATGTAGCCTAAATAGCTGAACTGCTTGAAAAGGCTGTAGCCTGCAGTCAGCTATGCTATATCTGATACCAATTCAATGTAAAGTTCTGTATTAAAATGTGGCTCAGATATTGTGGTTGCAGGCCTAGCTTATAGCTAGCTATTCACCCCACAACAATAAACATTTAATGGGTATTTAAATATTTAAAGCCACCCACAAATGTGCCTACAGTCTATAAAAATTGCCCACAGTGATTTCTATCAAATATAATTTTCTAGGCTGTATTTTACTTTCCAATATTAACACTGTTAGGCCTTGTGTATGACAAATGTATGAAGAATATGTCTTAGGATACTATACATGCTATTCAGGTATGTTAGTGAAATAATAAATAGTTTTGCCTTGGCTTTTCCCCCTTTTCAGACTTATGTTTCCACTGATGTGTTTTTGTGCCTAAATTACCAATATTTAATTTCACCAGGTTTGACCGTGAGAGACAGACATTCATCTTTAAAACAGTTTAGTGACGGGGATGTAGTGATGCATTTAGATTGAATGGGCCTAGCATCAACCACCATTGAAGCATCGTTCATCCATTTGGGCTAATCGTTTCTGACATGGCATGCCGTAAGGCTGTAAGGCCACTCATTCCTTCTCCTGTAATTCTTTGAAGGAGCTATTCATATATTCTGTAAAGGCTTGAAGTTTAAACCCAAATCCAGTTATAATCCCGAGGAACCATCAAAGCCATGTTGACAGGCAGCAGGCAGCGTTCTATAAAAGGCTTTGTGCTCAGTGGGGCATGTTATTTAGCCACGCATACGCATGGTAGGTCTGTATTCTATTTACAGACAGAATAAAGTCTGAATTCAGTGTTAATCTATTCTCTATTCTCAGACAGCATCAAGTCTTCAGCGTTGTTAACTATAGCAGAATGCCCTGGAGCTGAAAGACCAGGGATCGATGGGTTATGGCAAGATTCATGTCATTACTGCTCATTAATCTGATCACTGCTTTGTTATTAATATGTTAATAAGTTTCTTGTTTTAAATTTCTAAATGCTAAATAAACATTTAATTAGATAACCAGAACCGTTACTGATGGGTTCCCGGACCCAGTGCTTTAGGACATCTGGAAATCATGTTGTATTTGCTTTTTATATACACTACCGGTCAAAAGTTTTAGAACACCTACTCATTCAAGGGTCTTTCTTTATTTGTACTGTTTTCTACATTGTAGAATAATAGTGAAGACATCAAAACTATGAAATAACACATATGGAATCATGTAGTAACCAAAAAAGTGTTAAACAAATCGGAAGATATTTTATATTTGAGATTCTTCAAATAGCCACCCTTTGCACACTCTTGGCATTTGAATATTAACAAAAAAAAAAAATCTAAATACGTTTTGTGGCAGAAATGCCTTGTGGACCATGTGAACTTTCATGCGCCTTAATAACAAACTTGTATGCCATCTGTAAATACAAATACAATTGTTAAATTACGAGCCTAGTTGGTTTAGCCACGGAAAAAGACAGCAACCTTCCCGCTAGCCATGATTGGCTGAGATAATGAATGGGCTGGACATGCAGCGCGCTTCTGTCTATAATATGAGCTGGTCAGTATGTGTAGGCAATCCTTTCTAACACAGCTTTTTTGAAAGATACTACGTAGTAGAACTGCATAAGTGTTGCTCTCCACTTTCTGGAGGACCGATTTTTGAAATCAGTGGAATTAGAGTATGATAGCTAAGGAGATGGAGAAAATTCTGGCGTTTGATTGCAAATGTGCAGACGGAGTCGAAAAGAGAACACACAGAAGGCTGTTGTATAAAACACCTGTCTCTGGATTACATTTTCAAACTAAGGGCAACCATGGCATCTTGTAAGGGTTGGTGTGAGGTGTGACCCAGGTGCGGTGCAGGATAGACAGTAGGCAGTAGGCAGAGATGGTGAAACAAGGATGTTTACTGGTGGTCCCTAAAGCCAGGATACAAAACAACAGACTTTTAACGAAAACAAATGAGGAGCCCATAGGTCTCCTAAAAAAACAGGCTGACAGCAAACAATATGAAATATAACTCTGACTGGAAAAACACAATGACACAGGGAAAACACTTCTAGAGCACCTGTAACTCCGTCACGTGATCCGACACTGATACGTACCGCTTGACATAAAGGAACTAGCAGAGAAAACAGGGAAGTGAGGGCATAAATACACAAGTGAATCAGATAGACACAGGTGACACCAATAGGCAGATAATTAGTCCCGACTGTGAGTGAGGGGGTGCCTGTGGGTTGTCGGAGGATGACACCTAGTGGGTCAATCCAGAACTGCGACCCCACTCCTGTAACAATCTACATGTATTAGCAATGTGACTGAGACTAGACAGCCTTATGGACCAAACAGGGTGGAATATATCCATACGTTCTCCATCAATAACCTAGTAACTATGTGGTAAGCACTTCTTCTACAACCTGACAACCCCCTATACACTCTGGAAGGTAGACCTGTTGAATCAACCCCCTATACACTCTGGAAGGTAGACCTGTTGAATCAACCCCCTATACACTCTGGAAGGTAGACCTGTTGAATCAACCCCCTATACACTCTGGAAGGTAGACCTGTTGAATCAACCCCCTATACACCCTGGAAGGTAGACCTGTTGAATCAACCCCCTATACACTCTGGAAGGTAAACCTGTTGAATCAACCCCATATAAACTCTGGAAGGTAGACCTGTTGAATCAACCCTCTATACACTCTGGAAGGTAGACCTGTTGAATCAACCCCCTATACACTCTGGTGCATCGGTGACAGAGAGGGAGAAGCGTCCATCCATGTCTACGGGTAAGATAGTCTAGCTAGCTACATTTTCAGATATTACACGTTTCTAATTTTGTCAGAAAGTCGTTTTCATTTCAAGTTAAAGTGTACTGTTAGCTACGTTACGTGTATGATCTGTGTAGTAATATTATTTGTATCTCAGAGCCATTTGCATTGCTAGTTATAGCCTAATGTCAGCTAGCTAGCTAACATTGAACCTGGTTGGTTAGCTACCTGCAGTTTCATGCAGGGTAGTAATGTTATGAGTTGGGATTATGGTTCATTGTTTAGCTAGCTAGCTTCATGTCTAAATAAAAGACTCCACTATGCAAGTAAGTATCTCAATAGAATGTTTATGATGTCACTGCGACAACTGTTGATAGACGTAGCTGGTAAATTCCCTCTGGCTATCTACTCCGATTTCAGAGCACTCTCGTCTGAGTGTGCCAGAACACAGAATAACTGATTAATTTTAAAACGCTCAACACCCGTTGAATATGGCCGGTGTCAGTAAACGTTGGCAAAAAAGCATAATTAAATTGTTGCTAGCAGCACAGTTAGTCACCAACGCTCTGGATAACATGGAAACAGCCTAACCAGCTCTGCTAGGGCGAGTAAAATGGTCAGAGTGAGCTGTTCTCTCATTTGTGTCTGGAAGTAGCTAGCAAGCTAGCCAACGTTAGCCAGTTA